AATTTTATATATATATATATATATATATATATATATATATATATTTACACTTGAAGTGGCCCAGCCCCAACTTCTCAACTCCCACAGAACGTTCACTCGCCAGGTTAACAGAAGCCTAATTGTCGTCCCCAATTTGCAGGTGAACACACGGAGACACGAGAACAACAATCCGATCCAGGACCGGTTACATCGCAGTTGAAAGGGCGAGAACACAGACGCCCCCTCATTATACGCGCCGCGACCATCTGGATGCAGCGGCGAACTAAGGACTGAGTAGGAATGGGAGCGAGGCCCTTCGAGGAAGAAGAGGGGGTGCAGGCCAAACCGGACAACTTAGGAAGCACAAAGTAGAGGCGCATGCCACCTTGCTAACTCTCGACCCTTCCCGTCTCGCCCCAGTCCTCTCTGTGGTTTTCTCTAAAGGCCCCAGCCGACCGCACCAGCCACTCTCCCTGTATCCCCAGTACCAACTAGTCCGGCGCTCTCCGTCTCCCGCTCTCTCCCAGAAAAATGGAGGCGCGAATCCTGCCCAATCGACAGCTCCGGGCCCACGTTCACTGCGCACGCGGAAAGGGCGCCAAGCCGAGCGCTGCGTTATCGATCGGCCCCACTCTCTGCCTTTCTCGCCATCTTACTTACTGGCACGTTCAAAAGGTTAGTTCACCTCAGACTTTATCTCCAATGCGACAACCCTGACGTCAAGGGGCTGTTGCCTCACCGACAAATACCCGACCCCGGAGAGCACCCCGAGCGCTGGGACTGCCACGGGTCTGGCTGGCCGTTGGCTCCACCACTTCCGGGGTCTTAGGGAGCAAACGCGTCTGCGTGCGGTGTGCGGCCTGGAACGCGACTTAGGGCGTCGGGTTTGTTGTCAACCAATCACAAGGCAGCCTCTCTCCAGCGCAGGCCAATCGGCTTTCTGGTTAGAGGGTTTAACTCCTATTTAAAAAGAAGAACCTTTGAATTCCAACGGCTGAGCTCTTGGAAGAATCGCGTCCTTGGGTTGCAGGTGGGAGCCGACGGGTGGGTAGGCCGTGGGGGCTAACTCAGCGGCGGATGAGGGCAGGGGGGGACAAGGGGCGGCCGGCCGGGGTGGCGGAGCGACAAGTCCCCTTTCGGTTCCTCAGTCCCAGGGTCCCTCCCTGTCCTCGGCGCTGCCCTGTGCCCGCTCAGAGCCTTGGCATCTGCTTCTGGGCACCGAGGCTCCCTGTAAGATTCTGCTTGTTACTCTTCACGGCTAGAGGTGGGAGGGGTCTGTTGAGTGGTGGTAACCCGCGCGGGAGGGGTGGGTGGGCTTCAGATTGGATTTGTACTCGGAGATCACCTGGGTAAGAAAAGCACAGAAGGTCTCTGCTGCCAGTGTTGGAGTTCACGTTCTAGTCGGTGGGGAGACAGACAGCGAGCATACGGAGAACTTGCAACTGGGGTGGGTGTTACTAAGGAAATAAAGCAGCAGTGCCGTTTACTGGGGGCCGCTATCCGGTAAATCAGAATTTCTTAGAGGCAGGACCCAGGTGTCTAGCTATTAACACACTCTCGAGATGATTCTTAGGTTTCATTGAGAACTAGGGATGCAGACCAGTGCATGCTAATCATCTGGGGACGTTAAAATGCAGAATCTGTTTTCTTAGACCTGGGGTTAGGCCTCAGAGTCTCCATTTCTAAGAACCATCCGGGTGAGGTAGATGTAGCCACTGTCCTTAACTCGTAATGTCTCCTCCACTTCCTTAACCTTCCTTGTCCCTTGAATTATTTTTCAGCAACCTACCTAGTTCCTCCTGCCCCTCATCTCTGCAGGCATGCACAGGTCTGAGGAAGGAAGGAATAAACCCGTATAAACTTCCTGTGCTATTAGCCTAACAGCTTTTCTATTCAGAGTAGTAGGATTTCTGGTTTGAACTGAATGGACCCTGTGAAAGTCGTCTGGTTCTTCAATCTGGTTGCAGATAAGAGTCACCTGAAGGGCAGTTTTCCTCGCGGTGTCTCTAGAATTCTGGTTTAAAATTCTGGTTACTCAATTTTGCTTGTTATTCAAAATTAATGTTTGATTAACACTGCATTTCCTTCTCTTTGTTGTTTATTAACTTTTACTAACCCACTGTTTTTAATAAGGGCTCCTGCCTGCAGTCTGGGCCTGGCTTCATCTGGAGTTATTTGCTTATTTGTAAAATGGTAATTTTTTTTTTTTTTTTTTTTTTTTTTTTTTTTTTTTTTGGGAGACAGAGTCTCACTCTATTTCCCAGGCTGGAGTGCAGGGACATTCGATAAAAAAAACCTCAATGGGCCAGGCGTGGTGGCTTCTGCCTGTAATCCCAGCACTTTGGGAGGCCGACGCACGTAAATCACTTGAGGTCAGGAGTTCGAGACCAGCCGTGGCCGACATTGCTGAAACCCTGTTTCTACTAAAAATACAAAAATTAGCCGGGTGTGGTGGCAGGTGCCTGTAGTCCCAGCTACTCCAGAGGCTGAGGCAGGGGAATTGCTTGAACCCAGGAGGTGGAGGTTGCAGTGAGTGGAGCTCACATCATTGCACTCCAGCCTGAGCAACGAAGCGAGATTTCTGTCTCGGGGAAAAAAACAAAAAAAACACCTCAATGAAGGCTGGGCTTAGTGGCTCATGCCTGTAATCCCATCACTTTGGGAGGCTGCGGCGGTTGATCACCTGAGGTCAGGAGTTTGAGTCCAGCCTGACCAACATGGAGAAACCCCATCTCTACTAAAAATACAAAATTAGCCAAGCATGGCGGTGTATGCCTGTAATCCCAGCTACCTGGGAGGCTGATGCAGGAGAATCGCTTGAACCTGAGAAGCAGAGGTTGCGGTGAGCAGAGATCATGCCATTGCACTCCAGCCTAGGCAACAGGAGCGAAACTACATCTCAAACAAACAAAAAAACCCTCAATGAAGGACTGAACTACACACCTGGGGGAAGAGCCTAATAAAGGGAGCACGAAGTGCAAAGGCCTATGGCAGGGGACTTGTGTGGCTGGTGCACAGTCGACAAGAAGAGGAGATGAAGTCAGAGGCAGTTAGGGGCCATATTCCATATGACTTCGATAGGCCTGTTTATGCAGGCTAGGAGTTTGCATTGTTTTGATTGAGTTGGGGATCCATGGGGGTCTTCTGAACCAAGGACCAACACATCTGACTTGTTAATGGGATTTCTGGCCTCAGTGTTGAGAATGGACCATAACGGGGCAAGGGTGGAAGTGGGGAGGCCATTGGGAGGCTGTTGCAAAGAATTCAAGGGAGAGAGAACTATGGTTTGGCCAGGTGGTAGTAGTAGAGGTCGTGAGCAGTGATCTTGAAGGTAGAGCCTACAGAATATGCCAGTGGATTCAATGAGGGGTTTGAGAGAGGGAACCTGTTAAAGGATTATTATGCCAAGGCTTTTGGCCTGAGCAACTGACAGCATGGATTTGCCATGAACTGAGATGAGGATGTCTAGAGGCTACATTTGGGGAGGTGAGAGTGGAGAGGGATTAGGACTTCTGTCTGGGATGTGTTAAAATTGAGATGCCTCTCAGATAATTAGGTGCAGATGTTGCATAGAAAGTAGAAAATTTAAATCAGGAGTTCAGGGGAGAGGTCTGGGCTGCAGAGTGGATATTTGGGAGTCCTCAGCCTGGAGATGGTATTGAAAGCAGAGAGACTGGATACTCGGCTAGGGAGTAATTGTAGATGGAGAAGTTGTTCTAGGCCTGAGCTCAGGGCACACCCATGAACAGGGAGGTGAGAAGTGGAGGACGGAAGAGGTTCAGTTTTGGATATGTTAGGTTTGAGGTGCCTGGCAGACATTTCTGGGAGATCCTGGGCAAATACTTAGATATCTGACTCTGAGAGTCCAAGGAGACATTAGGGCAGTAGATGCATTTTGAGTGGTCCTCATGAAAGCATTTAGACCTGAGCCACGGGGTGATATGGATCCCTGGGAAGGTGTAGATGGAAAAGTGGAGGGTTCAGGGACTCGTTCTTGAGTCACCCCAGGCCCTTGTTTGGGCAAACCTGAGACCGACCCAGCAAGGAGGGAAAGACAGGATGACTAGGTAGTAGATGACCCTGGAAGCTGCGTAAAGAAAAAGGTGTAAGGTGTGATCAGTGTTGTCAGTTTCTGCTGAGGATGCAGCTAAGGGGAAGATGGAATTGAGCCTTGGGTTTGGCAACCGTAGGTGTCAGCCATGAGCCTGACAATGCGGTGGAGACAAAAAAAGCTGGGTGGGGATGGGCTCAGGAGGGGAGGCGTAGAGGTGGCAAGTGTGGACAGTGCTTCTGGAGCTTTACTGTTGGAGAGGAGAGGGTCATGGTTAGCAATGATAATTGAATCAAGAGGACTTTTTTAAGGTAGCAGGTATGCCAGCAGGCTGCACAGGGATGGAAGTGATCCGTTCAAGAAGAGAGAATGTAGCAGCAAGAGCATCAGGAGTGAAGACTCAGAGGATGGGGCGCAGCGCACAAGGGGGAGGTTGGCCTTGTGGGAAAAGCACGTGCCTGTCTCTCCCTCATCAGCTTCATTTGGACACAAAGTGTAAAATCCTGTGTGTTGTGGAGGCCTTTTGATCAGGGAGCTATAACTGCCTATCAAACAACTTAACAGCACTTGAAGCAGGTGGCTGTGTTCAAATTAAAGGTTCTTTTTCTTTTCAGGCATCATGGACAGATCTAAAGAAAACTGCATTTCTGGGCCTGTTAAGGTAAACTGAATAATCTGTAATCTCATTCACATTTACAAACCCACATGGAGGTTGGTCTTGTCTGGAATTCTTTCCACCTTTACTTTGGGTGATAAATTTAGATCCCTTACTGCACTCCTGGATATGAGTTAGTCACTTTTCTCATGTTCAGTTAACATTTTGCTGAATCTTCCAGTAGCTTTTTTGGCTGCCTGGTCTTATAATTGGCTGTTTACATTTCTATACCCTTCTGCTGTATACAGGCTAATAGTAATAATGCATCCAGCAGGAGTCCAAAGCTTGTAAAATTGGCTATAAATACAAAATGACTAAATTAGAAAAAGGCTACCTTGATTCTCAGTTCCTTTGATAAAGGCCATTTAATAAATTGCTCTACATTTAAAATGTTTCTTTTTATTTGTCTTTGAATGCCTACTGTGTTGTGGACACTACTAATTTCAGGAGGAAGTGACTTTGTACTTGGAAGTCTTTTAACACCTTTTCTTTATAAAGAACTCATACCATTGAGCTGGGGATGGATCGTGAGACTTTCTTTTCAGCACTTACCCCTCACTTACAATGAGCTGTTGAAGCTGAAGGAAATCTCATCCCCCCCCACCCCTTCTAATTTGATTAGCTGAGGGTGTTAGAGTTCATTTAACTATTTAAGCTTGTAATACAGTACTTACAGGTGTGCAAATAATACATTTTAGTAATAACTTTTTGAAGAGCCTACATTTGTTTTCTCTGTCAGTTTTTTGCTCAAGTCCATTTTGTAAATAATTGAAAAATGAAACTGGTTAATCAGTAATACAGTAATCAGCTTATTGTGGAAAATCTTGGCTATATGAAAACATGAGATTCTTCTAAAACTTCATTTGAAAATCATCACTGTTGAACGTTTTGACAGTTTTTTTTGGTTTTCGTAAGCACATATAATACTAAGGAAATTTCAATAGAACTGAGATTTTGGCATAAAGCTTTTGTATTATAGCTTTTTGCCAAATAGCAATTTAGCGTCTATTTCCAAATTATTGAGAAATTTAGAAAACGTTTGTCTCCTTCATTAATGGATATTTGTTAATGAAGCATGATTTTTAGGGGTAAGGAGTTGGGGGGGGTAGAAAGTATCATTCAGGTGTTCTTAGCCACATACTAACTATACTCTGGAAGTACCGACTAAAATGCCTTTTCCCCTTCCATCTGTTACCAGTGACATTCATTATTTTGCTATGCTAGAGAACAAACTTTGTGAAATTCTCAAAATATTGGACTTTTGCATTCATGAATAAAAGAAAGTTTATTTTCTCTTCCAATCTAGGCTATAGCGCCAGTTGGAGGTCCAAAACGTGTTCTCGTGACTCAGCAATTTCCTTGTCAGAATCCATTACCTGTAAATAGTGGCCAGGCTCAGAGGGTCTTGTGTCCTTCAAATTCTTCCCAGCGTGTTCCTTTGCAAGCACAAAAGCTTGTCTCCAATCACAAGCCAGTTCAGAAGCAGAAGCAATTGCAGGCAACCAGTGTACCTCACCCTGTCTGCAGGCCACTGAGTAACACCCAAAAGAGCAAGCAGCCCCAGCCGTCGGCACCTGGTAAGCTAGGTTTTGAGACTCATTGGATAGTCATTCTTTGTAGTCATTGCTAAAAAAGCAAGTGTAATATACTTATTTGGAGCCCTAGCTTGTATATCTGTTGAGGATGGGGAGAAAATATGGCATCTGGGTTGAAGTAACAGTGTCTGCCTATGGGCCAGACCTACGCTAAAAATCCAGACCTGATTCTCACGCTCTTGGAAGAGGTGGGCACCCAGGGAGCACATAGCACCAATCGGTGTCCTTTTGATTGTTTGTTATTGGGTCTGGATGTAGGGTGCTTGGAGTAAGTGTACTTGAGGAACTGAGATCTTCTAAAGTTTGGGGGAAATCTAGAGAAGTGGATGAACTGAGGCAGGCTGCGGTGACGTCACTATGGGCATTGCTGGCCATGTTAAGGAATGGGGTCTCATCTCTAGGGCATTTGGAAGCTACTGAAGATTTTTTGAACTGAGAAGGGAACTTTGCCTTTTAGAAAGTTTACTGTGGAGTCTGGGCACGGTGGCTCACACCTGCAATCCCAGCACTTTGGGAGGCTGAGGTGGGTGGATCACGAGGTCAGGAGGTCGAGACCATCCTGGCCAACATGGTGAAACCCCATCCCTACTTAAAATACAAAAATTAGCTGGGCATGGTGGCGCGTGCCTGTAGTCCCAGCTGCTCAGGAGGCTGAGGCAGGAGAATCACTTGAACCTGGAAGGTGGAGATTGCAGTTAGCTGTGATAGCGCCACTGCACTCCAGCCTGGCGGCAGAGCGAGACTCCGTTTCAAAAAAGAGAAAAAAAAAAGAAAGCTTACTGTGGAAGTACTGAATAAATTGGAGTAGGACTGCTGGATTTAGGAGTACCAGACAGGAAGGAGGTTGAGGTCAGACATGGCAATGACCTGCTCTGCGTGGAGCAGAGTGGATGCTATTATTTACCAACTGCTGAGTGCTCATTCCCCGAATTCAAGGGCGTGCTTCATTCACCTCATCTCATTCAATCCTTGTAACCACTTCATGAAGGTAGCCAATTAGTAACTTAGTTTTACAGAGGAGGAAGCTAAGACTCAGAAGCAGTTAACTAATCCAAAGAGATAGCCAGGATGGAGAGGTGCAGACAAATTTGAGAGCTCATTTAAGATGCAGACTCAATAGAACTGGGCAATACATTGCACCTGAAAGATGAGTAAAAAGGAGTTGGGATTGATATTAACTAAGTTAGTGAGCTGGGGGCTGGAGGGGTGCACATGGGACGGGCACGTGGAGGAAGAATTTGCACTTGCATTCAAACACCTGAGCAAGACCGTCATGTGCTGTTAAGAGTTTGAGATGTTGGAGACAGACAAGTGGAAATGTCCTGTATGTTCTTGTGGCGAATGAAATAGTTACCCCAGTCCTCTGTTGCACAACTGTTCATTGTGCATTTTGCTGAATTGGTAGCATTTATTTTTATATTTCCCCTTGGCAACTTAATATAATGGAGGGTGGCTGGCCTGTGTTTTGCTACATGTTGGTGATAATTTGTATGTGGGGTATGGACAGTTGGCTGGACTACCTAGTAAGGGAAAAAAGGTGACGAGGTGGCAACTTGTCATGCATGGGAAGATTGGCAATTCTGCCAGAAAAGCTCTTCATCTGGAAACTGAGGCTTCAGAAGAACCTGCACAGTCTGCCTTTAATTCATCAGAGAAGGGCCTGTCTATGTATATATGTCTGCTCATCTTTAGAAATTCTATGAAGACTTCACATGATGGAAGTCAGGGTGTAGTAGCCCTTTTTTCTATAAGGAAAACAAAACAAAACAACAGGTTTATTCTTGACATACCATTAATATTTTGGTGACCAATTTAATTCACCTCTATTCACAACTTATCCTATATAGTTATTCTAAAAATAGGTTTTTAACTTATTCCATATAGAAAATAATCCTGAGGAAGAACTGGCATCAAAACAGAAAAATGAAGAATCAAAAAAGTAAGCTTTCTTATTTACAAAGTTCTGTCCTATTTTACTAGAATATACTATTTCATTGCAAATTTAGTTGTAAGAACTCTTGGGGGGAAAAAATGAGGCCTTTATTTTCATTTAGAGGATATAAATGTTTCCAGATTTCCAATCTTAAAAATGGAATTTTGTATATTTAGGTATTTTACTAGGGACTCCGAAGTGCTTTAAAAAATTGCTTTCAAATTTAGAAAAAGCTTGTATGAGAATCTGTTACAGAAATGTGTGGAAGTTCCTCTCTGTCCTTAGAAGTAACCACTGCGTGTGGTTTATGTATGTGTCTGTACTTTTTTATTGTATAAAAGTACAAGTTTAAAAAAAATAGAATATGTTGCAGAATTATATACTCATATATGACTGACGGTTTTGACAGTATTAAAATTATAGCTTTAGTTCTTTATTATATATTATAAAGGTTGGCTGTAATATCTTTCCCAGGTCTTCTCTAAAAGCCTCCTCTCAAATTCTGAACTGTCTGGACTCTGGAATGTAGGGGAGGAGTGAGGAATTAACCCACAGACAATTTTGCTTTTAGCGGCCTAACAGGGGCTGAGACTAAATCCATTGGTTCTCACGCGCCTGTAGCCTGTGGGCTCTATCCTGCTTCTGTTAGTAACAAACACCTCTGGGACTGGAGGCGGTGGCTGTGCTTAGTTTGAAAGAGGCACCTAGATGGTCTGGAAGCCTTCCTCCCTCTCTGGTCACTTATCCTTTTCACGGTCTTCAGTGTTGTCATGGGCCTGTTCCTCTGAGCATAGTGTGGCCTTGGGACATTTCTCATAGAGTGATTCAGATCTGACTCTCACACCTAATAGCAGCTGGGGAAGTCAGGGTTTCACGCTGTGGCAACTCTTTGATAGTGGTTATTGCCTTGGTTCTTGCTAAGGATAAATACTGAGTACAAGTCTGAATCTAAAATTATTTATAGAATGTGTCTACTACCCATTGAAAATTTGTTAGAAAAGGTTTGTTTTCATATTCTAAAAGGTTCAAATTCCTTCCTAGGAGGCAATGGTCTTTGGAAGACTTTGAAATCGGCCGCCCTCTGGGTAAAGGAAAGTTTGGTAATGTTTATTTGGCAAGAGAAAAACAAAGCAAGTTTATTCTGGCTCTTAAAGTGTTATTTAAGGCTCAGCTGGAGAAAGCAGGAGTGGAGCATCAGCTCAGAAGAGAAGTAGAAATACAGTCCCACCTGCGGTGAGTTTTCAGGTTCATGTTTGAAAGAATATTCATGGATGCTGTGCCCCTCCCCCTCCTGTAATGCCAGCCTCTTCCCAGGCCCATTCACTCCCTCTTATGATGCACTGCCTTCAAACGCATGGCCTTTTCCTCACCTCCCCCTATCCTATGAGAAAGACAAGCTTCTGTACCACACTGGGTTACTGAGTAATCGTTCTCCTGCGATTCTCCCATGCTCTGCAGGTTAAAATAAAATTGTATTCCTTTTCTTTAAAAAAAAGTATAAATCTATCTTTTAGAGGGCCTGCTTTTCATATTACCACAAAGAATGATTAAATTTGTCATTTTTCAAAGATGGATCTACATTTAAGTGCTCTGATCCTGAAAAATCACTTGAGGATATAATGTTCTGTTGATGGAATAATTTATATGGGCAAGTCTTTTTGGAGGATAATGAAGGGGAATGGTACCCCATATTCCTGAGGTAGGCAGGAGTTGCGAGCAGCTACCTGCAGGTTGACTAGGGCTGGTGAGTTTTTTGTTTTCCTTTTTTTCTTTTTTCTTTCAGTGTTTTTCACATTTGAATCAGATGCTAATACTTCGAGTCTGGCCACATCAGGCCTGGTGTGTCTCTACCTGGCAACAGCTGGCTGGGGCTGGGCGGGGTGGGCATCTCACATGGGCTGTGCTTCCCACTGCTGCTTCCTGCTGTCCACAGTCTGCACCTGCCCAGTCTGCTCAGCACCTACCTACCGCCATTACTAATCACTGCTTTTGTCTGTCACAGTGTCTGGGCAGCAAACTACTGTGGCAATGCCATGTCTTTCTTTTAATATATAGATAATATTCAGCTGAATTTTCCTCCTAAGAATAAATATGCCTAAAGGAAGGAAATAGTCTTAATTAAGCCAGAGGTCCATTAATACTTTGAAATGCATGTAAAATGATATGTGGGTATATATATACTTCTTGGAGTGGATTTATAGTTTGTTGCTTCAGTGGGGTTTGGAGGGGAGTTTCATGTGAAACACCACTGGTTTTTCATGAAGCATTTGTTCATAGTCTTGTCAGCTCCAAACCAAGTGTTAAAATGTTTATCTTTCATTGCAGGCATCCTAACATTCTCAGACTGTACGGTTATTTCCATGATGCCACCAGAGTCTATCTAATTCTGGAATATGCACCACTTGGAACAGTCTATAGAGAGCTTCAGAAACTTTCAAAGTTTGATGAGCAGAGAACTGCTACTGTAAGTTTTCATTTATTGTCCAGGCAAATTCCGTTTCCTTTATACCTGTCCTCCATAGCAATACACCTTTCCTTATAGTAGGGTGGGTTTTGTCTTGATCGAAGGATAGGTTAATATCAAATATTTGAAGTGGGAAAATCAAAATAGCTTAGTTGTACCAGATGTACAGATCAAGTCCAGAACCAGGTAGAATGTTGTGACTGCTTTCGTGCCTAGTTTGCACAGCTGTTTTCTATGGAAAGGTATATAATGTATATAGATAGTTGCCCTCATTTTATTTAATAGATGTTTTATTTTAGAATAGTTTTTACTTTTTATTATTTTTTTTAAGAGGACAGCGTCTTGTTACCTTGCCCAGGCTGGACTAGAACTCCTGGACTCCAAGGGATTCTTCCACCTCAGCCTCCCAAGTAGCTGGGACTACAGGTGCACACCACTGTGCCTCTAGGATAGTTTTAGATCTACAGAAGTTGTGAAGACAGTATAGAGAGTTCCCATATACCCGACACCAAATTTCCTGCTAATTGTCTAGCTAACATGTTGTATCAATATAGCACCTTTGTCACAGTCAGTGAGCCAATATTGATATAACTATTAACTCAAGTCCACATTTTATTCAGATTTTTTTTCTCATGATTAGATGGGCATAAGGGTTTTTGAGAGGGAGATCAGAGACAGTGCATTCTTACCACATGCCAGAGATGTAAACTCTTAGGACTTTTAACTGTGGGTGTCAGCTTGATTTTCTGATTGAGACAGGGTTTTTCTGGTTTCTCCACTGTAAAGTTACTATTTCCTCCCCTTTCCATACTGTATTTCTTCAAAGGAAGTTACTATGAATAACCCACACTTGAGGAGTAGAGAAGTACTCCTAGATGGAGCTTTTCCATAAATTATCTGGAATTCGGTGCCAGAGATAAGGCTGTTCTCCTTTATTTAAAGATGCAGACGCCTGGCTTTTTATTTTATCCGTTGAGCTATAATCCAATACTTGATTTTGTGGTTCAGATCATTGCAACTTTGGCCACTGGCAGCTCTTTTTCTTTTACAAGGGTCCTGGGAAAATCATTGTGGTTTTGTGGGGGGTGTGTGTGTGTGTGTGTGTCTGTGTGTTAAAACACATTCTTTTTTTTTGTTTTTTTTGAGATGGAGTCTGAGGCTGGAGTGCAATAGTGTGATCTTGGCTCACTGCAACCTCTACCTCCCAGGTTCAAGTGATTCTCCTGCCTCAGCCTCCTGAGTAGCTGGGATTAACAGGAGGGTGCCACCACACCCGGCTAATTTTTGCATTTTTAGTAGAGACGGGGTTTCATCATGTTGGCCAGGCTGGTCTCTAACCCCTCACCTCAGGTGATCTGCCCACCTTAGCCTCCCAGAGTGTTGGGATTACAGGTGTGAGCCACCCCGCCCAGCCTTGTACTTCCTTACTTTCTGATACAAGATGCTCAAGCCTCGTCTTCTGTATTTCCTGCTCTAGTCCTAGAATGGAACCATTTCTCCAAGGAGCCCTGGTTCCTTTTCTTGGAGAATGTTACTAGAAACTGAGAACTGGGCACTTGGTGTACTCATTGCTACTATGGTGTCACTACTACTTCTGGGCTTTCAGCTGACAGAGCAAGGGAATATATGTAGATACTAATCTGTGTATAGATTTATCCATCTCTTTATTAAGCATAACATGAATTCGTACTGATATCTTCAACTTGACTCCATTTCCATGTTTAATTCTAACTTCCTCCTGTTTACCTGGAAACTCCCATTCCAAAAGTGAGAAACCTGAATTTCACTGCCCACCATCCTTTTATTTAATTATTCAATTCCAGTGTACATGAATAATGGTATCAGAATTGTTAACCAGCTGCCCTGTGGGAACCAACTTTGTCAACTGGAGTGCTTCTGTGCACTTCCTTTGGCCTTTGTTTTGTAGACTCCACCCATTTCCAAAGCAGCTTGGATCCACACTTCACTCCCACGCCCTTTGGTGAGGTTGTTTCCTACATTTGTAATGCAGTGAGATTCTTTTGTCACAGTCTATATTCCGTGCTAGGATGCCCAGGATGGAATCACTTAAATTTGCATATCCTGAGATTGATTTTCATGTGTGCTGTAAAATTCTGAGAATTTTGACAAATACACGATGCCATGTGTCTACCATTATGATATACAGAATAGTTTCACTGCTCTTAAAAAAACAAATCCTGTGTCTCATCTGCTCATCCCCACCTTTACATCTCTGGCAACCACTGATCTGTTTACTGTCCCTGTTACCTTTTCTAGAATATCATATAATTGGAATCATAACAGTACGTAGCCTTTTTAGATGGGCTCTTTCACTTAGCAATATGATTTTAAGATTCATCTACATATTTTTGGAGGCATGAGGGCTTGTTCATTTATTTTTATCTATCACTAAATCATATTCCATTATTTCATTGCATGGAAGTATCTCAGTTTATTCATCTACTGAAGGGTATCTTGGTTGCTTCTGGTTTTTGACATTTATCATGCTTTGGCTGTAAGCATTTGCATGCAGGTTTTTGAGAAACATAAGTCTTCAATTAGTTGGGCACATATCTAGGAGTGTTATTACTGGTTTGTATGGTAAGACTGTATTTTGCTTTGTGAGGAACTGTCAGTCTTCCAAAGTGGTTATACAATTTTTACATTCTAACCAATGAATTGAGGTCCTATTGCTTCTCATCCTGGCCAACATTTGATGTCAACGTTTTTGATTTTTGTTTTGAGACAAGGTCTCACTGTCGCCCAGACTGGAGTGCAGTGGCTCGATTACCCACCTCAGCCTCCCTGGCTCAAGCCATCCTCCCATCTCAGCCTCACAAGTAGCTAGGAAGGACTACAGGCATGTGCCCCTCTGCCTGGTTAATTTTTGTGTTTTCTTGTAGAGACAAGGTTTTGCATGTTGCCCAGGTTGGTCTCAAAATCCTGGTGTCAATCAATTCATGCCCCCCAAAATCGTGGGATTACAGGAGTGAGCCGCTACACCTGGCCTAGTATTTTGCATTATAGGTATATGTGGTATCTCATTTTCTAAATTTATAGTTTCCTAATGACATTCGATGTTGAACATCTTTTTATGTATTTGCCATCTGTGTATCATCTTTGAGGTACCTGTTGAGATCTTTTGTCCTTATTTTTGAATTTTTGGTCTTGAGTTTTAAGAGTTCTTTGTACATTTTGGATGCAGGTCATCTGTCACACATGTTTTGCAAGTATTTTCTCCCAATCTGTGGCTTGTATTTTCATTCTCTTATCTGTGTCTTTCACAAAGCTGTTTTTAATATATATTTTGAGACAGGGTTTCACTCTGTCACCCAGGCTAGGGTGCAGGGGTGCAATCTCTGCTCACTGTAGCCTCTGCCTCTTGAGCGCAAGTGATCCTCCCGAGTAGGTGAGACCACAGGTGGGTGCCACCACGCCCAGCTAATTTTTGTATTTTTTGTTTTAGACACGGTCTCACCATTGCCCAGGCTGTAATTTTTTTTTTTTTAAGACAGAGTCTTGCTGTGTCACTGAGGCTGGAGGGCAGTGGCGTGATCTTGGTTCTCAGCAAACTGCAACCTCCACCTTTTGGGTTCAAGCAATTCTCCTGCCTCAGCTTCCCGAGTAGCTGGGATTACAGGCACCTGCCACCATGCCCAGCTAATTTTTGTATTTTTAGTAGAAACAGGGTTTCACCATGTTGACCAGGCTGGCCTCGAACTCCTGACCTCAGGAGGTTTGCCCACCTTGGCCTCCCAAAGTGCTGGGATTTACAGGTGTGAACCACTGTGCCTGGGCTCCCAGGCTGTATTTTTTAAAGTCCAATGTGTCAGTTTTTTTTTCATGATTGTGCTTTTTGTGCTTCTCCTTCTTTATGTGATTAAAATGACTTGTTTTAAGAAGTCGAAGAGTCTTAATTTGGGCCATTTCTAATTCAATTGGCAGCTTGATAAGGCATGTTGAATGGTAGTTACTTTGATTTTTTTTCTGTTTCTTGGTGATCTCTGGGTAGTGTGTTTCTTTCTTTTTGACATTGATGTAAATGGCATTTAAGTTCAAGCCTTTTTACCTTCAGTATCTGATGAAATCATGCTCCTATTGACAAATGGGCCTTTGCTCTTGTCTCTGCAACATGCTGTTTTAAACTTAAAGCCTTAATCTTAAACGTTTGTGCTTCTCCTAAGTAGAAATAGATCTCTAATTCACTTTTTAAATATTAGCTAAACAAATCAGCTTCTTATTTAATTGGCAATTAATATTTCTTTATGAATTCGTCTTTTGGGCCAACTTTCTCTTACAGATCAATAAGGAAATCTATGCTCATTAATGATAGTGAGTCTGCCTCAGGTACTCACATTTTACCCTTGGTTTTTTTCCTTGTAATCATGCTTATATGGTAGGTTATAGTTTGTTGTTTTGGGTCAGTTAATCTTTTTCTTCCGTTTCTGATATTGATATCCTACTTCCAAAGCTTCACCTTATACCAACAGTATAAAATTACACATTGTACTACTGCACTGTTGTCTCCCCTCACACCCGGGGCTTCACTCTAGATGGAGTTTTGGTGTCAGCAGATAGATATTCGAAAGAAAATGGAAGATTATTTCTTTCTAGATTCTTTAGTAGTTAGAATGACTACACATGTACCTGTTTTCCTTTTCAGATGAATTCAAATAAAACTAATTGTAGAGACATGTCAGCGACTGATCCGTAGCTGCAGTCTAACAGCATGTGAGGTGTGGAGGAAGTGGCAGTGCCAGAGAGCCATCATGAAACTAATAGCCTCTTGTCTGGAAATGATTTGAGGAGTGAAATCCATTGCCCTCTCAGACTTTAATGTGTACAGTTAAAGTATCAGTAATCAAAGCTGGTGTAGTTAGAAGAGCAGCTTTCTTTGTATTTGCCTTCAGTTTACCGTGTGGTCTAAATTTTGATCTCTGGCTTTGGGCTGAAACAATTGTTTTTTCTGACAGTCGCATTTGGTTTTTACCCATCAGTTT